CGACTTCCACTGAACAAATAGCCAGAATCTAAAAGCAAAAATGAAACAATTTGAGGGCAGCTGGCTCAGCTGCTGGAGGTCTGTCCTCCAGAAATGCAACTGCATCATCTCACAAGGGGACAGGTGGGAAATGCAGGCAGGAAAAATGTCCCTGTTTTCCTGGGTTGGCTCTATGGCAGCAGCAGAACAATCCACTTTTCCCAGCTGCAGCAGAACAGATCTGTGCAGGCTCTAAATTACACATCCCTCTCCAAAATATCTGAAGCAGCACATTTGCCAGTGGACTCTGGCACTGCAGAACTGGCTTATAATGATTTATCTCATGTTGCACAGGAGTAGATGACAAACATGAACACAGTTTAGTTGTGAAGGTTGTAACAGAAGGATGGGGCAGCTTCCAAAGGTGGTGACTTCTTCATCTGCTCCTAGCAAAGCTGCCAGATGACTTCTAAATACACATCAAATTCAGATTATCTGCCCTGTGACTATATCACAGCCTGGTTTGCCACTACTTAAAAAGGAAGAAGGTGAAGTTATGGTTATATCCTTTCCTTATGAAAAGATGGATGCTGAGATGAATTCCCATCTAACTGACAGGTTTATTATGGCATGGTAGCCATACTAAATGAAAATAAAAATAAATAAAAGCAAAGACAGGGAAAAAAACCCAAACCATGAAAAGTACTCCTGTCAGGCAGAAGTGCTACAAACAAAACACGCCAGCTTAAATAAATTGTTTTTCTTAGGCACTTAATTTACAGAACTATTGGCAAACAGCTTTGGAAGTTGAAAACTTTGATGCTTGCAAAAACCCTTCAGCCCCAACAGCCTGTTTTCTCCAGACTGTCTGGCTTTGCACCTCAGTAAATAAAACCCAGACACCCATCCCAGCTGTCTGGAGCACTTGCACCTGCCCTTCCAGGGCACTCAGGGAGCTGGGAGGGTTCAGGCTGTGCCAAAAGCTGCCACACTGCTGGAAGGTGTGTGGGGCTGGTCCTTGTCCTGCTCTTATTAGATCTGGCAAAACTGCTGGCAGGGTGAGTTAGAGAAATGTGGAATGAACTACAAAATCCCTGCAGGAGTGCAATGCTGTCTTAGAAAACTGCCACATTTTGGCCTCTGACTTTCTGGCAATCAGTTAGAGACACAGCAAAGCTTGGCTTTCCTTGCATGGAGAAGTGCATTGGAACACTATTTCCCATCTGCTGGGTTCGAGCACAGCAGAACAGAGGGTTACTGAGTTACTGGGAGAGAGGCTTTCCTTAGGCCTATAAATCTTCCCTGGATCACACAAAGCCCTTAAAAACGGGAGGAAATGGGGTCCCTAAAGCAGCTTCAGTAGTGTTGCTAATGCAAATCAACTCCAGACCAAGGGCAGGGCCTGCCTTCACCTCTGCTCCTTCAGCTGGAGCAAGAGAAGCAAAGTAACAGAGCAGCTCAAAGGGAGGGATGGCTCCTGCCAGATCAGTTATCCCACTGCTCCAATCCCTTCCCAAGCTGCTCTTCTCCATTCCCATGTCTAACTGTCCCTTCTGCCTCTCTCCCACACATAACCTTGTGGATTGTGTCATCCTGACACAAATGCCTGGAGAAGCCCCTGGATTTCAGTTAACTCATAGGAGGCAAGCGCTCAGGGAGGCTTTTGCTTCCCCAGGATGGCAGTGGCCTGCTGTGCAACTTCTTAATGCCAAACCCCAAATGCCTAATGCTGGAGACTCCTCTGTGCCACGGGAGCAGCCATCTCTAAACAGGACTGTGAGGTGTGGATGCCTCACAGCCCATTTCCTTCTGACTGCACCACTCCACTGCCTTTCCCGCTGGGAGAGTTTCCTGCCCACTCACCTGCCCTGGCCAAGGAGGGGATGGTCCCCAGTGACAGGGCCCTGTTGAGACGTCCAGGGAGGGAGGATGAAGAAGTTCTGCGTGGGGACCTGAAGAGCTGTTGGTTTGTCAGGTGGAGGAGACTGGGTGGTGTTGGGACAAAGAGAGACGTGGCAGGTGAAGGGAAGGCTGTCCCAGTGCCGCTGGGAAAGAGAGTCATGGAATCCCCAGAGAGGTACCTGCAAAGGACACACATGACACACATTTAGCAAGGAGAAGTTCCAGTCGCTGCCTCTCTCAGTTGTAGTTGCATGAACATTTGTTTTGTTACCAGCTTTGGACTGACTTTTCAGTGCAGGAATGCAAGATGCAGAACGCTGAAGAGTTCACAGGAATGTTCCCACACTTTGAAGCTGGGAAAGGAAGAACTGCTCAGCCTGACTCAAATTATTGTGCACCGACCTGTCCCACAGTACAGGGTGGAAAAAGTGGTGGAACAGTTTAGGAACTCAGGTGCAAATAGGCACAGTACCTTGGATCTCTCCCTGGATGAGAAAATTACCTAGAGACACCAGAATGCTTTAAAAAATCCAGGTACACAGAGCACATCTTATGTCTGCTATGTGCACATGCCAACTGCATGCTTAGACATGTCATGGCTGTGGGAAGCAAGTAGTTATGTACTATTTTTTTTGTCCTTAGAAAGCAGAATTAACGTCTTACCTCTGATGTCAGCATAGAGAAAAGGATTTTTAGTGGCTACCTGGACGAAGATTTCAGCACAAGAGCTCTGTTTTAAAACCAACATTCAGACCTCCTTAACACATTTATTTGCCTTTATTTATACTTCTGTCAGGTAATAAAGACTCACTACCCTCATTTTACAGATGGGAAAATCCTAAAGTGAGGCCTAAACCACTACATTTAGTTTCTCTGCCCCAAGTATGTACTAGCACAGCCGCTCCAGGGAGCTGTGCCCCTGCAGCACACACTCCAGGAAGTACCTGGCTGCTAGTGCCTAAAACCCAATCTCTGTTACAGTGCCTGGAAAGAATTTAAATTGGAAATATTAATGGCAATTGTATTTCTAGGTCTGCGAGTTGTTTTCAATGGGTTCTTTCCAAGTGAAAAGAGTGGGAGCTGCAGAACAGAGCGAGCAGGCTGAGAACACAAGAGGAGAGAGAACAGACAAAACATACCTGTACCAGTTACTGATTTTTGAGTGCTACAGACATAAACTGACCTCTATTCTCTGGTAAAATAACTGTATGAGAGGACTGTGTATTCTAATTGTTTTCACTGCTAGTATTACCACACTCAATTGCTATATGCAAACAAACTATGCAATTAATTCCCGACCCCCATTTCATCACCTAACTTTGCAGTGGTTTAAAATTTAAAAATCAACCTGAGCTGAACAATCTGTTAAAAACTTACTCCTATTTTTACCTGCTTTCTATTCCTCCTTGCAATCACGTTCTGATCTTAGTCTATGTGTACAGTTTAGTTGACTACATCACCTCAGAAACGAGGAGTCAGCTTTGGAGTCTCACTTGTGTCCTCAAACCATCCAAATGAGTATTCCACAAAGGTTGCAGTGCTGAAAGTATGGCAATTTTGTACTGTTTTTAACAGTGGAATGAAAATACAAGAAAGAAAGTCTAGAATAGGAACCAGATCTCTGATCTCCTGTAAGAGTTTTGTTTTGTTAGAAACAGGTAGTATAATTGTCAGAGAAATCATGATGAAGAACTAATGTATATTTTTAAACGGAAATAAAATTAGGCTGCAATATTTGGAGGCTTAATCTCACTTCTGATGGAAACAGATGAGACAGATGAGAGCAGCAACATGGCTTTTCTTCTGTCAAAGGGAAGCCAGGAGTAAATCAGAACATAAAGGAATATACATATCTCAGCCTTGTGCTGTGAGGTGATTTATGGGCCTTCCATTCTGTCTCAGAGATTAAAGAGCTGGTGCACCAATATCATGCTGTGCTAAAACGTCCAGAAGAAGCAGTCTAGAATTAAGATTACAATTTAAAATATCTTATAAAACCACTTATCTGCTCATATGAGGCAGACATAACAATCCTGACCATCTTAATCAGGTTGAACAACATATTGGAAGCAGGACTTGCCTCTAACAGCAGCAAGGGACTCCTCAGTCTTGCAGGAGAAACTGCCCAACCTCTTCAGGTTCCAGGGCCTGGGAAGGGTGTTGTGCTTCCCTTTAGTGCACTCCCACATCCACATCTGCCCCATAACACACATACACACACACAGAGATGTACGTGTCCATCTCAGCTTTGGAAGGGAAAATGAGTGGGAAAGGGGATTGGAAGTGCAGCTCAGGACTATGATATGAATCACAGGAGAAAGAGTGATACCTACCACTCACTGTGCCATGGCTGGGAAGGGCCAAATCAGAGTATCCCCTTGAACAACGCAGCCCTTTTGTCCTAACTTTGCACCTTCTGTGTCTTTGGGCTACAGGACCCAACTTTACACAGCTCCTTGCTGCAGCAGTTTTTCATTCAACAGGCTGGAAGATGTTACAGTCATTTATCACCCATAACCACAATATCTCTCTCACAATGCTGGGATTGTAACTGTTTTGGAGCAGTCTTCCAATGGCTCTGCTGCTCAACAGCCCCACTTCTCAACCTCACCAAGTTGTGCAGTCAGATCCTCGGGGCAGCTGAGGAATCATTTGCCTTGCACCATCCAGAAAAAGAAGTTTTCTGGTTAGCAAAGAGGAGCTGAAGAATTTTAAGCATAGCACATTAAGGCCTTAGGATTGAATGCTGACTAAAAACTGGCTTAAATATTGATCTGTTCTGAACAAATTCCTGCAAAGTGTGCAAAATCCTGTTCCTTTGCCCTGCACTTTTCTCCTTAGTGTTTGCCACTGCCGTGTCAAGAGGGCTTGATGCTGCTAAAAGCTGTCCTGGGAATGTGCTTCATGACTGAGAATAGGCAGCTGAACTAAAACTTCTTTCAGAAGCAGATGAAAAAAGGTGAGGAGATCAAGAGGATCATAAGGCAGGAAGCAACCACATCCCAAGCCTTGGAATGGAGCACTAGAGCTGTGCCTTCGCTCCAAGCCATTTGTGCATGTGATAATAATGGGGCTGGTAACAGTGAAAAAAGTAACAAAAAGGCTCTGGAGTCAGACAGTTTGTGGAAATAGTCAGGGCCCGGAAGCCGTTTATTTCAGAACTTGATATTGTGAACATCAAAAATTGGGCATCTTAATTAGTGTTTACAATGATCACAGCGTTACTAGACAGTTGGGCACAACTCTGCTACACGGATACTTTAAAAATAAATAAATAGAAGGTTAAATAAGAGTATTACACGGTATGGGACTGTACACGGTCCTGAAGAGACACCTCCTGCCAGCAGAGCCTCCCCTCCTCTGTCCCAACACCTCCCTCCTATCCAAAGACACCACCTATGTGTGTGCCTATTTAATTCACATTTTAACCAGAGATGCTGCATCCTGGGACAGAGAGAGACATGGGAGGGCATGGGGCAGGTCAGACTACAGGGCTGGATGGACCCACTCCTGTGCCAGGGAATTCAGTCCATGAAGGAGGAAGGTAAGATGCAGTCAGAGGCAGGCAGCTCGTGGTGTTTGCCCAGGTTCACCTGCCCGGGGCAGTCAGGGGATAAAATGTTAACTCTGGACTTAATGTGCCATCACAACTGAGCTGTGAGTTCTCCAGGTACAACTGCACCCTGTTCCCAGGCACTGTGGGTGCAGAACAGCTCCCTGTTCCCCCACATTGCTGTGCCCTGACCAGGTACTGCTCTGCTCTGCTCCATCTCATCAGCCAGGGCCACAACCCGTGCCTACAGTCAAGAATCAGGAGTAAAGAGCAATATATGAATAAAAAAACAGGCACAGGGAGAAGGGAGAATAATGATTAAAAAGGGCACAGGTCTGAGACACATTAATATTTTGATATGTGACTTAAGAAAGCTAGAAACTTTAGCTGCCAAGAGTAAGAATTCTCTCCTACATGTTGTCCTGCTTTGGATGAAAAAGGAGGGTTGAATTGGAGCTAAAAATGCTCCAGCTGCCAGGTCCTGCACTAACACCTTCTAGAGTACAGATGTTTGGCATCAACTTTGCCTTCCCTCCTACAGGTGGCACAAAGGTCCTGTGTCTACACAAATCCAGACTTGCTGGCATGACAAAAATGTCCAGGGAACCTCTTCCTGCCTGTGCACTCGACCCCTCTGGTCCCAGATGAGGCTTTACAGGGGATGACTTCAGGACTGAGTACTGTCCCTCTCACAGGAGAGCATCTGCCACGGCTCAAAGTGGCCCCAAGTGTACTCACAGGTGACAGCACACTTGGAATGACCTGGCAGGTTATATGTGACAGCATGCATTTTCAAAAGCATCTCTTTAAAAACCAAAGCAAAGCCACACACCACAGCTCCCTGCTTTCAGGAGTGGAGTCAGTCTGGAGCAACCATCTGGCTATGAATTATATTAATTTTTATAAAAGCATAAATACTTTGTCCACAGTACATCAATACATAGTTCCTAGAGTATCTAAGCATGATTATAAGCTTCACATAATTTCAGAGTACTTGAAGAATATTCACCAAGCCAAAATCAAACGCCACTACACCGTTTTTATCTTCCCCTCATGTCCTCACCCTTTGCCACAACCCCAGCTCAGCTCACCAGGGCATGCACAGCACAGGTGCAGGAAAGGAGGAGTTAATAGAAAAGAAAAAATGGGATATAAATATAGTGTATTTTGAAGGGTAAAGGGCTACAAAGGCGTCAGTTTGCATGCACTGATGTCAGTGAGGGCTTCAGAAGTAGCAGCAGCAGAGGTGCTGATTTGGCTGCTAGTTCTGGGTTCTCCCTCAACCCCCTTAGAGACTGCAGAGCTGCTCAGAAATTTAAGAGTGCAGCCCAAGTGTCCTCTTATGCCCTGTCACACTCACTGGGGGCAGATGAGGGACAGAAGCACTGGCCTGGCACACACACAGGCACTGCTGCCCCACGCTGCAGCCTCAGGGCTTCCAATGAAGCAAAGCAACACAGTGTTGTCACAGATCTTGTCCAGGGAAAGGCACTTAAAGAACCCACATCAGCCCCTTTATAAATCTGGCTCTGCTGGGCAGGGTACAAGATTTTGAGTTGGAGATGAGCCATGACCACCGAGAGGCAGAGTCAGGCACTTGGGCATGGAGCAGATCTGATTTCAAGTGACACACAACCCTCAGCTCCATTCTGCTGTACCATCCTCTGGTCCAGACACCAGCATATGGCCAGTGTGAAAGAGCAGCACCTTGAATTAGGGGCTTTTGGGCTAAAACCCTCTAATACTGTTAAAATGTTTGCACGCTCTGGCCTGCGTGGCTGGGAGAGCCCTCAGGCTTCAAAGCTGCATCTCGTAACCACAGGTTACCACAGTGTTCCTCTCAGGCCTGAAATAAAGAGTCCAGCTAATGGAAAACGAGAAGCTCAAAGCACTGACCAAGTAGTCCTGGGTGCTTTTGTGCCAGCTGTGTTCATTAGCTACCAGCCCTTTGTTAGCTCTTGTCCCACCCAGCAGGAAGAAATGTGCTCCCGTGTGTGTCTCACACAAAATAGCACCTCAGCTGCACAGGGATGGAAGGACTGTGCCCAGGGCATGGACTTGCACCAGAATACCTGAGCTGGGAGCACACATTTCCTTCTGCTGGATCCACTGTGGGGGAAGCAATCATGCAGTCAGGTGATATATCCAACTGCTGAGCTACGTCCTAATTGAACCTCGGGTGAAAAATGCAAAGCACCTTCCATACAGAACCTACAGCGTGGCAGTGTCTACAACAGTCTATTTGGCATTAAATCAGGTATGGCAAGAACAGGCTCAGTAAAGGCAGTAGTGATTTACCTAATTTTTTTTTCCCCAGGAACAGTCCAGAGTAAAATACTGCAAACTCACAACTGATCTTCTACAGGCCTCGTTGTCTGAGACACAACTGGTACTGCTTGAATGCTACAGTTTATAAATCAGAACACCTCTGGAAAATCCCACCCTTCTCCTCCTTTCTTCCCTTTCCCCTAAAAGATCCATCAGCAAAAGCATGAGAGACCAACGATGTGAGAGAAGCAGAAAGAGAGGAGACTTGTCAGCATCAGAGTCTCTAAAGGACCAAAAATTCAACTGCTGCAAGTTTGGTTTTGAGGCTCTGAGGTTTTCTGGTGTTTTGAGAAGCAGCAGCACAGACATGCTGAGGCACCAAGAAGGGGGGGAAAATAAGCTGACACCTGAGTACAGACAAAAGCTTCTTTGGCATTAAAACTGAACCCCACTTCAACATGTGTTATTTTGTTTCACCTGTGAAATGTTTCCAATTACAAGTCCAAAAGTTTTTCAGTAAATCATGAACAAAGCACCACAGAGATCAGTTGTACAGCTTGGCCACAAAACAAAGTAGCTTTCTGATGTTCTGACATATAAATTAGTGCAACTTGTAAATATACTTCACTGGTATTAATCTGCATAAAGCGAAGACAAATGGATTTCTTGCTTGTATTCAATTGCAGTTAACATATCTCCCAGATTAAAAGATTTTAAACTCAGTGTAGGTCTGCACTTGCTGTGCAAACAGAGATAAAATATTCCTTAATAGGACTATTCAGGCTTCACAGTGTAAATCCCACTCCTTCCCACAGTTCTGCCAACTGCCTGTTCCCAATATTTAGTTGCATCCTCCCCATCCCATCCCAGCACTGCACAGGGAAAAAGACAAGAGAATAAGAGAAAAGAACAGAAATGGTCAAACAACATAACACTGAAGAGAAAAATATCATAAAAGGTGCCTGACCTCAGGGGGCTCAAAGATGGGGCAAGTTTAAATTAAAGGGGAAAACCCAAAGTGCTCCTAAAGAGATGGGAGGAAAATGGGAGACAGGAGGGCACGTGAAACAGGGCACAGAGAAGTTTAACAGAGCCTTGACTTTCAGCTCCTGGAAGCAAAGCATCCTAAGAGGCTGCCAAGCATCTTTAGAAGCTGCCACTGAGAGATTCCTCACTACTGGGCAAGAAAATTTGGGCAGATTAATTTCATTCTTATGAAAAAAGGGATAATTGCTGATAGAAATCAGGCATGAGACACTGCCATGGCCATCCCAACGCCCCTCCTCCTGCCAGCAGCCTCAATATATCCCTCAAACATGAGGTTTCTCCCATCACTGGGACACACCTCACAGGAGAGCAGCAAGAGGAACTTCCAACTTCCAAATTGTGCAGTAAGTGCAGAAGACAATCACAGCTCAATAGGAACATCAGTCTTTTCCTATGTTTAACTCTAGGAGGAAAATTTTGAAGTCCTGAAGCGGGAAAAAGGGAGGAAGGAAAAAGAAGTCTGGTGTCTTTATTTCACTTAATGGCCATGACAGCTCAGGGTGTCCTGGGTTTTCTGTGCAGCTTTTTCAGAGGATGGTAGAGCTGGCACTGGATTTGGTGCCAGTGCCCATCTCATCAGGTGGCTTTGCCCACCCCACTTTGAACAGCAGATGGGTTGCAGAACAGTGGTGTTGGAAGGGCTGCTGCAGTGAGGAGTTTTCCAGGGATCACTGCATTGAAAGGAGTGCCAAGTAAACAGTTGATAGCACACGAATTGTCCCCCTTTTTGGCTTTTTTTAGGGCTTTTATCCTTTGCCATTTCCCATCCTTTCATGAGCTTATTACTTCCTGTCCTAACACTGCTTCCCGCTCCAACAGGTTGATAGGTACAGAGAAAAAAGACTGGATTTTTAAGGAATGTTTCCTATTAAATCTCCTAAGGGAGAGTAGGAAAGAGGCACCAGAGGGATTGTGAAAGTCTGACCCAGCACACTTCTGCTGGCTTTTTCCCCCTGCTTTGTCACGTGGCTTCCTGTAGTATTTACTTTGAAACAACTCTCTAAATTCACTCAAGTGCCCCTGCAGAAAATGGGACAAAATGGTTATTATTATCATCATTTTTAAAGTCTGAGACTAGAATAAGAAGCAACCTGTGAGCTGGAAGACAAGCATTTTGGGTCAGGATTGGTAAGTGATGGGAAGGTGGAAGATGGAACCAGACTTTGCAGGTGCTGGGTTCCTTTAGTGGGTAAATAAGTAAACAACCCTCAGAGCACCATCATTCACAAGCACCAGAATGGAAACAGGTGTTCTGTGAGCTTGGAGGTGGATATTTGTCTGAAGGCACTGGAAAAACGTTCCAAAGGAGAGCCCAGAAGGGAAGCAGGTTTGTGTGGCCCCTTCCCTTGCTAAGTTACAGGCACACGGTCCTTCAGGCAGGAGCTGCACCTTCCCAGGGCACACTCAGCCTGGCTTATTGTTAAAGAACCTCACAGTGTCACCTTTGTGCTTTCACAACGATCACAGGTTGGAAGAGCAGTAACTAAGAAAAGCTATGAAAGCTTTTGTTTCCTTTAAAAAAAGCTTCTCTGGTTTCACCAGCATCTGCAGCACCCAGTAGTGTCTGAATGTTTCAGCAGAAGTTGCAGATACTTCACAGTGAGAGCTCCACTCTGATTATTTTAGTTTATACATTGGAAGATCACGACATCCAATTAATTTATATCAGACTGTTAGTGTGGCAAGTTCCACTGTGCTATCTGGAACAGAAGAAAATAGCAGATCTTCTGTAACAGTGCTATTTCCTCTTGGAAGACCCAAATCCATCAGAGAAACTCAGTGGACTGTCTTGCAAACGACAGTGCAGGATATTCAGACTGCTGATCCTAAGAGGCCCCAACAAGTCAGTCCCACAAAAACCCAAGCAGCTGGAAGCTCCTTCCTCCCTCCCCACACAGTAACACCCAGTTACCCCAGCTTTCAGCAGAGGACTGCCAGGCACTCAGCTCCAAATCACAATTTCCAGGCCCCTTTTTTTCAACAGCATGAGCACCGATGTCAGACTTCAAAAGAGAACCCTTCCCAGTAACCCCAAAAATCCATCTCTGTTGCCATGCAGTCCCACAGCAGAGCTCCCACCCCTTCCTTTGGCACATCCTTCCTATCTGTGTTCTCAGCAATAAACACTGCCTGAGTAAGTAGTGATGAACACTGCCAGCTGACCATGTATCACAGCATGAGGTTGCTATCACATATTTCTTCTATAGGAGTGAAGGAACACACGCATTTTTATCCACTTGTGCTTGTACACAGATGTTCCTCAGGGAGTGGGTGGGTGGGTAACAAACCCAAAGAAAACTGGCATTGAAAGCAACAGCCACTGGTAGATCTGAAAATTTAGCCTCAACCAGCTGAACACTTTCAGGTATTAAATCAGACACCCTGAGCTACATGATCTTGTAAAGCACCCTTTTGAATAAATTATTGGAGTTCCAGTCAACAGCACTTAAGGACACTTCTCCATATAAAACAGGAGTCAGGAGAAGGGCAGAGCTAGAGAACATGCAGGTAAGTGATGCTACATTATGGAAGGCAAGAAGAACCAGGTTATGGGCTACGTGTGGTCCCCTCCTCGCATGCCTGGGCGTTACCACAGCACACGGTACGAGGACTCCAAATCCAGAGGCAAGTTCCCATCAGTTCCAAGTTAAAATGACCAGCACCATTAGAAAAGTGAAGGTGGCCTGGGCCCCACTGGTGGATCAAGGCAGAGGGTTCCTCTGTGAGTGGCTAAGGATGGAGAAGCAGTGAGAAGAACTGGGAGGACAGGAGGAGCCAGAATCTCTTTGGCTGGAGGAGCAGAATGGGGAGGAGGCTGCATTCACGGAGCAGTTTGTGGGGCAGCTGCTGGAAGAACTGGCTTTGGGGAAGCTGGATATTTGCACTGCTGATGTAGGATGCAGGAGGAAGGGAGAATGGAGGCAGCAGGAGAGGCTTCCATGGCTAGCAGTGGAAGTATTCCAAGCAGCTAGCACAGTGGTAAGCAAGGATGGGGAAAAAATTAAAATATATATATATAGATATATATAAAAAGGAAGAAGAGATCTTCACTGTTTATCTGATTAAAAAAACCAAACAAACAAGGAAACAGAGGAAGGGGAAATAAAAAGAGGAGAGAGAAGCACCAGTCGCAAAGAGTTCACAAGGCTTTTTTTGCTCCTTCCCCCAGGGTCACTGCTCTGGCTCTGACCTTCGGGGCCGGTATCTCCGCTGGCCCGTCGACTTCCGCGTGGCCACGGCTGCGGTGAATCCCACCAGGCAGCACAGGGACGTGGTGCCAAACTTGGCCGTGTCCAGCCAGCTGGGGGTTTCCATCTTCAGGTACCTCTCGGCTACGTGCAGGCTCATCACCACGAACCACAGCACCGAGGCAAACGCGTCGATTCTCCGGAGTCTGCGACAAAAAGAAAAAAAACAAGAGTTTGAACACCAGCAAACTCCCTCGGTGCTGAGGAAGGAGAGGGAAGGTGGGGAAGAGGAGGGGCAGGTACAGATTGAGCAGGTTATGTACTGCCTCTGACCAGGTGCAGCCCTGCCCACTGCTGTGTAAGAACCTGACTAGATCAGCTCCATTTTCTACCAGAGCTGCACAGGGAACTCTTCATTCACAGTAATTCAAGCTTAAATTGAATGAACCAAGGCACAGATCCAAAGCAAGCTCTGCTGTCTCCACCCAGCCTGCTGGCAAAGAGCTGTGCCACCCAGTGCTACGTGTGCCATTCTGGCAGATGTTTATCCCTAGATCAGCAAGTCAAGACTGGACCAAAGACCTCCAATATAACATAGTTTTCCTTGAGGTGAACCAGGAGCCAAGTGCACACTCACCTGATCCTCCCGGCCAGGAACATGGCCAGCAGGCAGGTGAACAGCCCCAGCACAGCCACGGCCATCTGGTGATTCTTCCCGTAAGCCCACACGGCGCTCAGGTTCTCCACCACGTGCTCTGGGAGCAGCTGGAGCAGCTCCCTCCATCCTGCCACCCTCACCGAGGTGTCATTGCCCACGTCTGCATGGGAGCCTGTGCCAGTCCTGTTCTGAAGGGACGCTGGGCCAGAGGGAACGGGAGCAGGGACTGCTGTGCTGAGGGAGAAGGGGTTGCCTGACCCGTACAAGGCCATCAGAACCAGGAACGCGCAGCTGAGGAAGGCCAGGAAGCGCAGGAGTATCACCTGAGCTGGTGTGGTTATGGAAGCAGAGGAGGAGGATGAACATAAATTCTGCAGAAGAAGGGAGAAACACCTTGTCAGAAGCCTGAAGGAACTGCAGTAAGGTTTTGAAACGGTGCTTTAAGAAACACTTCCAGACTGTATGGCCTGGACTGTTTTGCTCAGGTCCCTCTAAGTCTCTGTACTGGGCTGACACCCCATAGGATGTTGTAGACTAGCAGGGAGCAACTGCAGAGCTATGAGCAGAAGCCAAGGTCAGGCAGGGATAATGTCACAATTTACTTCCCATCGTTCTTTTTTAATTTTTTCCCCTTGTACTCTGTAGTTTCTTGCACTGCAGTCATAAATTGCCTTCCCTACCTCCCCTTCTCTGCCTGTCCCATAATTTTCCTTCCACTCTGTTATTACTACATTAGACTTGCCTTCTGGCAACTGCCCTGAATGACACCACCAGGACAAAAACCTCAAACTAACATCAGGAGCACCTGTGGCAACTACGCTGTACTCTTCTAAACTGCTGGTACAGAAGCAGCTCCCAGGTTTAGGGAGCCCCAAGGCTGCTGCCTCCCCTTCCCAGCAGCAAACCCAGGTGCAGTGGGATCAAGTTCTCTGCATTTCCTCCTGAGCCCCCTCACCTGGGCGTAGGCCTTGTCTGTCTCGCGGCGTTTGAAGTGGTGGCTGAGCAGCAGCGCGCGGAGCTGCCGGTTCTGGTGTTTGATGTAATACTCCACAGCAGCCTGGCACGGGCGGCACAGCTTGTAGGTCTGCTCCAGGTGGTGCTTGTACACCTCAATCTCCTCATCATACTTGCCCTGGTGAGAGAACGGGAGAGGAAACGTAGGTGAGCACTGCAGGTCCCTCACCTGTTATCATATTTGCTCCTGACAGGTGGACAAAGCGTGACTCTGGTCTCCAGAGGAACAGCCCCCAGAGGAACCAAGCTGGAGGCCAGGCATGCAACCAGCTTCACATACAGCTGACCCAGCCTCCATGTCCCAGAAGAGATGAAAAAAGCCTTGCAGAAGGCTGCTGTGGCCCAATTCCAGGATGCTGAATTTCTGTGGCCCTATTTTGCCGTCTTTGTTGAGACCTTATGAACTCAACACAGGAGGTGAGACAAGAAACTAAAACTGCTCTTCCCCTCCTCAAATGAGGGGACACAAAATACCTGTTGCCCCTTCACTCCACTGTGCTGGAGAAAGAGATAAGTGCCTTTCAAAAATCAGCCCCAAACTTGAAGGCTGTCCCTGTTTGGAGGCCTTACTGAGATGAGCTCCACAAATCATTAATAACACTGGTAAAAACAGTCAGTAGGTACGTTTTCCAGTGTCACTACAGTGGACACATCACTTATCACAGAAGCTCCTAGGGCTCTTCTAACTCCAAGATCCTTGTACCAAAAGTGTCAGCTGAAAGCATGCAGCTTCTTTGGAAGCAGGATGGTGCATTGAGGCTGCCCAAGAGTTTGCTCCAGCAGTTCCATAGGCTCCATCTTTTGGAACCAAGAAGGAATCCCATGGCAGAGACCAGGAGCAGCAGGGTCATCCCTCACTGGAACAGGCCAGCAATGCTGCAAGAGGCCACTGCTGCCACTGACACACTTATCCAACCATGCTGGATAACACAGTCCTGTGTTTCACAGCTGGCACAGACATTGCAGGTCACTGAATGCCTAAAAATGGGCCAGAGGCAGTGCTTTGAGGAACTGCATAGGTCTGGCAAGAGGCAGGGACTAGAAATAAAGCTGAGAAAAGGGCACCAGCTGAAGATACTCTCATTAAGCATGATCAAATTTAAATCTGTTCTCTGGGAGTCATCCTGATCAAACTCATTACAATTACACAAAGCAGACTGGATTAGGCAAAACCAGAGGATGAACACATCCCACTACAGCACAGTCTAACCCCAAGGCTTGTTGACAATGGTTGAAAGCTAAGGAGTGCAGCACTAAATTCTCTGTGTGAAACGTTGGGGAGGCATAAAACTGTGAAGGAAAAACCCCATTATCCCATCCTCCATGCATATTAAGTAATGGGAAAGCCAAGAAGTTGCTCAGCAGGAAATCCTGTTGCTGTAACTGTAAAATTCCCTTTGCCCTCCTAGGCACAGATGCCTGACCAGGGAAATTATGTGGCTGCACAGGATTCCTCTCCCACTGCACTAATAATGCAGAGAGCACAGGCAGGGCCCCAGGAAAAACAGAATTTGTTAAGGCTTCAAGGTATCCAGTGGGCAGCTGTGCCTGCCAAATCCTGCAAGCTCGGCCATGGGAAGCACTGGAGCTGTAAGCTGATCTCAGCAACGTTTTGGGCTCGAGCTTCAACTCCCAGCGCTCATCTAGAACAGGGCATTACATTCCAGCTTTGGAGCAGAATTAGGTAAATTTGCAGCACTAATCAGTAACCTTCTCTGCACTGGAGTGCCACTTAATGCTTCTGAAGACTATTGGAGCATCATTCCACAGTACACTGAAAAACTGCTCTCTCTCCTGCTTACAAGGCTTCAGGATGAATTAAATCGAGCAGGAACAGCAGAGCCACGCACGGGAACGCCTCGGTCAAACACTCACCTCCTCCCTCGGTGAGAATGAAGCCAGCTGTTTGATTTTCATGGTTTGATGGTTGTTGCACTTCTTGCAGAGCAGAATTTGGCTGCTCACCCACTGCTGTGGTTTGGTGGGATCACAGAAAGTTGTGCCGCCCGACACAACGTGGTTAAGGTGCTCCATGTACTGGGCAGGGATGGGCTTGTTATAGTCTCCATTCTGACAAAAAAGCAGGAGGGGAAGCAGACATTAGATCATAAAATCAAAACTGGGTTGGCAATAAGATTCCCTAAGCTCTGTCAGCAGCTCTACATGCATTCACCTATGCAACAAAGTAAATAAGCAAAAAAAAAAAAGAGACAAAATGCTTCAAATCTTCTGCCCACCTCCACTGTTCCACACACCTATTGCAGGCAGCTGGCTGTGCTGGATTCTGGCTTAAGACAAGTTTTGCTATTTAACAGAATACAAACCCAGAGAATAATAATATTTTAATATATTTCTAATTACTGTTAATATTTTATATATTATCTGCTATATTTATTGTTGGTAATATTAAATTATTAATAATTTAATTAATATTTAATCAATATTGCTAATAGTTTAATATAGTGCTGACGCCTAAAATCTATTCTGACATGATTTTAAACTCTTTTACTGTTGTTGGCTATTAATAAAGACAATCTGATTGCATCATTAAAAACCAGAGGTTTTATTCTTCTGTCCTCCTCGTCCAGTAGAAAGGAGCAGAAATCACCCAGAATGGTGGAATTGCATGCAATGTTTATATTAAAGCTTTTTTATCACACCTAGCACAGGGATTTTTACACTGTTTCATATATTTAAAAAAAATATTCCTAAGAGAGATGTCAAGGCTGCTTTTGCCCTTTAAAGAAAGGGAGGAAAATTTGTCTTCATTATCACAGCCAGCACATCCCAGTGCAGCGGATTCCTTCTCAAAGCTGATCAAGTGAGCTCAGCAGTGCTCAGCACAGCTGTCAAACCGCTGGACATTCACGTGCACTGGGCCTGCATCACCCCAGAGGAGGAGCAGGGATTTCCCAAAGCACCGTCCCACCTTCCCAGCCCGTGCCAGTACCTCCTGGAAGCCGTTGTACTGCTCGCAGTTGGGGCAGTCCCAGCAGTTGCGGTTCCCGTACGGCACCACCGTGTCCTGGTTGCAGAACCAGCAGTTCACCGTCACGTGTGTGGGCTTCTTCCTGCTGGGGGAGGAAACGTGTCAGGCACCAACACTGAACTCAGCTGGTGGACAGGAAAGCACAGGCTTTCAAACAGGGGCTGGAAAAACAATCAGTCTTCCCATTCCGTGACACGACTCGGAGTAGTCACTTTGGCAATGAAAAGGTGGGTTGTTAAAGTAGAAATTAATTCTGTACTAATACCATGAACATGCAGAATTACCAACCTCCCTGTTTTTCAGGGACACATTTAGGGGTGCAAATCCTCTCCGTAATCAGCAGTGTTATTATATAAGAAGGGTGCTGTAGAGTTGACGCTTAATACACAGAATCCTGGGAAAAGGAAGTTACGATCCACAAGAGCTGCCTATGATGGTGCTCAGAAACCCAGGAAAGGGGCTCACAGTTACAGTTCTATCTATTTTGACAGAAAATTTTTCAAGGGCAAGGGTTATCACATTATCCCAAGGCTCAGGCACTGTTAACAGCTGTTTCTTCACAGCTTTAGATACATAAAGAACTGAGGAAACAACAGGTCTTCCCTGAGAACAGAAGGGATAAAGACTAATGACCTTGATCCATGAGCCCCTTGTTTCTTAAAGCAATCCTGTTAAAACACCAGCCAATAGAGACAAACAGCTGTGACATGACCACAGGTTGTGACAGATGTTTGAGCAAAGAGCTCCAGCGGCCCAAGCCCCGGGCCTGCCTGCTAAAGAAGGTCTGCATTTGTCTCAGAACTCGGTGCAAGCTCCACGAGGAGCTCCCTGGCAGGTCAAGGCAGCACAGCCCAGCTGTCTGGGTTTATCAGAACCAGTCCCAGTCCCACTTCCAAGGGAGGGCAGCTGCTCAGGGACTGGCTATGGCAGCTATGCAGACAGATGGACCCAGCTGCCACCAGCCCAGCTCCACCAAGGCATTAATCTGTGTGGCTCCACTGCAGCGGCAGAGAAAGCAATGGAGCAGGGGGGCTCATGGAGGGCCTGGGAAGCAACTAACAGGAATCCAAATGCTCCCAAATTGAGAGCAACTTCTCTTCTTCCTGCTCTAGGAAATGGTCTCTGCTGCTACAAAATTCCATAGTGAAACACCCTCTGAATCCTGCAGAAGTGTCGTCTGGCACCCTGGCAGCTGGGTCTTCCCCTCTCTCTCAGCCATCACCTCTGTAGCTGGATGCCTACAATTAACATTCTTCCTCCCTCCCATTTCCACAGACTGTGCCTTGAAACTTGGTTCATAGAATATCCAACCCTCAGGCAATGCCTGGCCTTCCAGTCTAGGTACTAACAGTGCTTGCAATGAAGCACTGAAACTCCAGCGTGCATTGAGGATTCCCTGCCAGATGCTGAAAGAAAATAGCTGGAGCTACTTGGGTGACAGATTCTCACCCCAAAATAGATGCAAACACCCACACCCCTCCTAAAATGAATATTCCTTGTTCAACTTTCTTCACTGCCAAGGGGGCTCAAAACAGTAACTGATGCGAGTTAAAAATACCACTCCTGAAACTAACAGGCAAAAAAAAAAAAAGTTTAAAGCAGACAAATCTAGGTCGTTAGTCTGACTTATCCATGAGCTCCCACTGTCCAAATGCCAAGAAAACCACTTGTCAAAACAGCCATGTGAAGGATGGACAGCAACACCTGTTGGTACTGGTTTCATCTCACCATCACAGGGGTACAAGTATAACATGCAGGCTTCTTTAATCACGAAAATACAAATCCTAGTGCTCCTCGAGCACAGACTTCACAGCAAGCACAGCCTGAACTCCACCCACTGAGGGAGGTTATTGCACAAGTCCCAGGTACTGTGGAACATGCCACAATCCCACCCCCATGCTGCTGTTCACCATCCTCTGGCATCCATGGAAATAAGACACACCACACTTCAGCCCCTACCCACCCCCAGCGTCTTCCATGACATGACAGAAGAGGTGGAAGCACTAATTTTCAGCAAAAAAAGAATCAATGCCAAACCCTCTCCAAGAACTTGCTAATATAAGAGACCAAATCCTCAGTATACTCCAGACCTTCCCATCATTTTCCAAACAGGATTCCACTTCTAGTTCTTGAGGCTGAGGAACTGCTACCAAGGATTAAATAGCAGCCCTTCATTCTCACAATGTATGCAAAAGAAATGGCTAAGTCCTGGATTATTTAGGATAAGAGGCAATAATCCTTCCTTTTGTGAACCTATGATCTGTTGCCATAGAAATAGGTGCAAAAAACCCAAGTTCCAATCTGCTGGATGCAAAAAGAAGAACAAGGGGGAAAAAAGATCATTCTAGGCAAGAACATGTAGGTGGGGTACTAGTTTTCTAGTAATTGGGCAGGACTTAAAAAGCAAAAAACAAGTACTGCATTTGGAAAGACTCTCAAATACAGATTTAATGAGTTTGGAGCTATATTTACCTTGACTGAATTCAGGCAGCAGCTGAAGGCAATAAGCTACAGCACACACTGCTTCTGAAGTCACACCCTGGGATGAGACAGACAATGCAAAACTGAGCACTTACAATGTGCTCAATCCCTTGCAAAACACCAGGCAAATCATCCCTGAGGAGCTTAAATGTACCACTGTACTAACTCCAACCAGCTTCACTGGGACAGAGAACCTCCCTGCAAAAGAAAACCTGAGCAGCAAGAGGTGACAATTACTGACAGCACAGGGGGATTCCACTCACAGCTCACCTGCTGTGCTAACTCCGTGTGGAACCTGCACGCACAAACAAGCTCGAGAAAATTCCCAGGCTTGGATAAATTATTCTGCAGGTAGAAGATATTTGCTTAAGACAACAGTGAGGGGAAAATACCCGCACTAAACATATTTAGGGGATCAACACCTAAATGTCTGACAGCCCTCATATAACACAAAATGTTTCTTTGTGAGGGGCCATCAGATGACTTCATTTTGCTCACAAAAATCAGGTTGCAGCTCTGCAGGTCCTGTTGACACTGTTTAGCAACTACTTTGTGTCTGTCGTGTAAAATAAGAGGACCTTAGGTTCCTTCCAACTCCCAGCACTCTTCACTATTCCTCATTTACACACATATTCAAGGCCACACTTTTAATGGATTGCCAGAAGAACAGTCTGCCTGAAAAGTGCTGATAATAATACACTGAATCTATAAATATTTATATATTTATTTATAAATATTTACATCTATTCCCCCTCCCTCCCTTTACTACTAGGTCAGAAAATGAAGATGTTTGGTTTTCCATATTTAAAAGAAATATGGATATGCAGTTCTTCAGGGGGTTATCCTCATCCTCACCCAAGGATTAGAAGAAAAACCCAATTCTCCATTAAAAGTATTTAAAGCAGCACTCTTCATTCTGGCACAACTGGATTACAAAGCAATTATACAAAGGGCTATGCCAGCAAATCTGAAGGAAAGACACCCTAGGAAGAGGAGCTGATTGGCACAGATCAGCCCCAGGCACAGACCAAGCCATGGCACAGTCCAGCTCACCATCAGGGAAGCTCCTGGGTAGTTCCAGGTGATGCCCATGTCCATCACCTGCCAATAAAGGGGTCTGTCAGTGCAGACCCAGTGCTAAAGCCCACTTTCCAGTGCAAGAAAAACACATCTATCTAAAGTCCAGCAGGTGAATGCTGTCACAGACACATCTGCTCACAAGTAGCAGTTGTGGACAGGGTTGAAGACTGAGCCACAAGATCAGATTTCTAGTACAGTGTCAGAGGTCACAATGCACCCTCTCCTCTCATAAAAGCCAGACTTAGTGTCCTCTTAAGAGGGAATAAAGTGCCCAGTGGACCTAGGCAGGGACACAGACCCACAGTTGTAACCACTCTCTGGGCTTGTCCCCCTCAAGGGCTGTCAGAACTGTGAAACTGCAGCTTCAGCAACTTTGAACACTCTGGAGAACACTGGCCCCAGGACAGGATGCTCCAGGAAAGGTGCCTCTTTTTGCCACTGCAGTACCTGTGACAAGCTTCCCAAGGAAATGTTGCTACAGCTGCTGGTCTGAACTCAGCACCCCAACCAACAAACAGGCAGCCAGGCTGTGATCTCAAAGAAAGACCACAAAACATACCAGAGTTTTTCTATCTGACCCAAACTCACACGGATTAAGGAGTTCCTGTACATTGTACATGTGGACATCAAAATCTTTTATTTCCTTGATTCAAAAAGCAAAGGTAGCATCATATCTGTGTTTGACATCATGTCTGTGTCCCTTATAAAGCTGTCCTCCTTGATGACTATGGAAGATTAATTTCTGAGGCAGAGTAAGAAATCTGGTAACATCAGAACATTACTAAGAAACACAAACACGTACCCCCAAAGAATAATCAAGGTCACCTCCTGACAGAATTTACCAGCAGTCTTCAAGGACTTGGGAAGAAATGCTTTCCATTCCAGAGACCTTTTGATGAACTTGAGCAAAACAAATCCAATCTCCTCCCTCAAAAGGCATGTTAGCCTCAACTGGGTCAAAGAAACACTGCCTGCTTCGCTGGGATTGCTTCAGGCCACCAGGATTTCTTGCCTACCCTAAATATGTCACAGAAATGCCAAGTCTTGTATATGGGCTAATGTACCACTGATCATTTATATGGTTCCACAAACAGCAAAGGCTTTAGAGCAAACCTTAAGCATGATATTGTGAATGTAGAAATATGCTTCTACTGCTAAGCATAAACTTAAAGTGAACCTTAACACAGGGAGCCCTTGGGGCTGCCTTTTCTCCAAGAGAAGCACTCAGTAGATGAGCTGACTGCTGTCTGTTGCTATAAAGACTAAAGTGCCTCGTATTCCATACATCCCTACACTCCTGTCACGCTATGCTAGATCAGAATCTGTCAAATTAAAGCTTTGCTCCTTTTTATGAGATCTGCATCCTGACATCTCTCCTGATGCTTTTCAAGCCTGCTTTCCAACTGGTCTGAATTTGTCCTGAAGTCAGGAACGTCCTGTGCAATCAAGAAAACAAGTAACCAAAGAATTCTGCTCCCTAATCAATAATTTTGACTTCTATGGATTCTATGGAATCCCCCCGAAGTTCTAGCACCGTGCTAAGTGTGCTGTGATTTTACAGCCCTGTTCCCCACGAAATCCTGCCTTTGCCCCTCATCAACCAGCACAGAAAGCAGGATTTTCTCTTTCCCTGCCTCAAACACGTCAGAAAAAATGGGGGAGACCCCGACCCCTGGGAGCCTCTGTCCCTGCATCCTCACATCTCTCCTGATGCTTTTCAAGCCTGCTTTCAAATGGTCTGAATTTGTCCTAAAGTCAGGAACGTTTTGTGCAATCAAGAAACCAAGTAACCAAAGAATTTTGCTCCCTAATCAATCATTTTGACTTCTACGGATACCCCCCCTCCCGAGTTCTAGCACCGTGCTAAGCGCGCTGTTATTTCACAGTCCTGAAATCCTGCCTTCACCCCTCACCAACCACGACAGCAAGCAGGATTTTCTCTTTCCCTGCCCCAAACACTTCAGAAAAAACGGGGGAGACCCCGATCGCCGGGAGCCCGTGTCCCCGGCGGCGTGAGGGCAGCGACCCGCGGTACTCACCGCTTCCACCGCGGCGCGTCCTGGATGCTCAGCCCGGCACACACAAAAGCCATTCCGGGGGACACGGAAGGACAGATCCGGCCATTCACCCACACCCTGACGACGCGGGGGCCTTTCCCTCAGCACCCTCCTCGGGGACGGACCCAGACCCTGGCCGGGCGCACCCGCGGTGTCCCCACAGCCGCGGTGTCCCCACAGCCGGGCACCGGGCCCCGCGTGGCGCCTTCCCGCCGCCGCGGGCCGCACATCCCGCCATGTCCCTCCCTCCCTTCATTCCCTCCTTCCCTTCCCACACCCTCCCTCCTCCTCCTCCTCCTCCCTGCCGGCCGTACCTCCGCGCGAAGCGGTAGAGCAGCAGCCCCGCGGCCGCGGCGCACACGGTGGCGCCCAGCCCGGCTCCCTCCATGCCGGCCCCGGCCCCGACCCGGCGGCGGCGGCGGCGCTTTGTACGCGGCGCGGCCGCCCCCCCGTCCCGCCCCTCGCTCGGCGGCGGGGGCGGCGCGTGACTCACGGAAAGGCCGGAGTCGTGCGGCGGGGCCGCCGTGAGTCAGCGCCGCCGAAAAAAGGCCGAGATCGTGGCGGCGGGGGCGGCCCCGCGGGCCCCCCGGCGCTGCCCGGGCCCCGTGCGGGGGCTGGCGGCGAGGGGAGGTCGTGCCTGGCCCCCGCCGTGCCTGGCCCGGGGCCCGCCGCTCTCGGGAGGCGCGCGGGGTGGTGGCGGGGGGGAGTCGTTGGCTTGACTAAATTTAGACGCGGCGCTTTCCGCGTTAGAGACGGACAGGCCGGGCGTCCCGGTGAAGGGCGGCCGCGCTGCACAGGCACAGAACATCCTGGGCTGAAAGGGACACACAAAGATCATCCAGTCCAGCTCCTGGCCCTGCACAGACACCCCAACAATCCCACCCTGTCCCTCAGAGCGTTGTCCAAACCTTCGAGCTCTGGGAGCCTTGGGGCCGTGCCCACTGCCCTGGGGAGCCTGTTCAGTGCCCGACCACCCTCTGGGGGAAGAACCTTCTCCTGGAATCCAACCTAAACCTGCCCTGGCAGGCACAGCTCCAGCTGCTCCCTGGGTCCTGTCACTGATCCCCACAGACATCAGCACCTGCCCCTCCATTTCCCCTCATAATGAAGTTGTACCTGCAATGAGGTCTCCTCTCAGTCCCCTCAGCCGCTCCACCCACACCTTCCCCTCAAGGCCCTTCACAGGTCCCAGCTCTGAAGGGGGAAAAAGGCTTCAAACATCATGTTTAACACCATTAAAAAAGGCACAAATGGAAAAGCTCTTCCCAAATATTTGTGCTGGAAGTAAGCTGTGCTTTTAAGCTTGTCTTTAACTATGGTTGGGCTCTCTTCACTGTTCCATTTCCCTCTCCACAGATTTAACCATGGTAATGAATTCTGTGGAGTAACAGTGAATATTTCATCTTGACAAACGTAAAAGGGACATAATTTTTCCATCTCTCTTCCACTGTTTAGCACAGTCACTTAAGGATTGTTTTATGAGCCCAAGTGATAGGGATAGGAGGAACAACCCACCCAGTTATTTGGCACATGAAGACCTTTGAGGTCCTCTAGGACTTCTGGAGACCTGGTTATTTTTTCTTCAGAGGTCCCTCCCTTCCTATCAACTCTCTGTAGCACCAGTCCAGCCAGAGATGCATTGTTTGAAAGTTTCCTCCTTAAAGGAGCTAATGAGGAACTTGTGCAAAACCACTATAAATCACAGTGAGGGGCACAATCACAATACAAGCATGGATGCCAATTCTCAGCAAATGCAGGTATTTTGAGGGATATCACGATACCTAAAGGGAGGCAGTAAGTCTTACAGCATAAGGACTTTGACAAATCTTCAAATGCCTCAAAAATGCTTCCAAAACTAAATTAACCAACAAGAGCAGCTCATACAATTGCAGCAACAGTGTGTTTGTAATTTCAATTTAACTGTTAATATATGAATAGGAACGGGTTCAGTCCTGGTAAAGTTAATGGAGTCATGGTGGTGACTTCAGATAGGACTGTATTTTCATCACCTTACTGATAATTAAACTACAAAGTGTCTATTAGTGAAGCCTTTACCTGTCTTCCATGAAAATGACTTTCTGTGGAAGCTGGAGAAGAGGAATGAAGAGTGAAAAATGCTTTTAGTTTGACTTTCACAAACAGAGAAAGGTTGGTTATTTTTAAATTCAGGTATCGTTTTGGTAAAAGCTACTTCAAATTCTTTCCTCTGGTAATAGGCTTATTCCATACTCAGTGACATCAATGGGATTGCTCACAGAGCGTCACCTAAAAATGGTAACTCTTTATAGGGTTTAAGGAATCAAGGGCCAGTGAATTTTAAAAATTCTATTAGAGAGAGGAAGGAAAAAGGATTTAATTATGTTAATTCAGAAACTCTATTAGTTCCCAATATAGCTTATTAACCCTCTATCAAATTAAGACTAATTCTGTCAGGATTGGTAACAAAGCTTAAAGAACAGGAACAAAAATCCCACACAACTCCTGATTTTCCATCAGATTTAGGCAGAACAAAAAACTGTTCACTTTCTCTTGCCTTCTCTCTTACCAAGGCCCAGACTCCTCCAAAGGGCTGGAGTTCCCTCCCCTCGTTCTCAGAAGACATCAGCAGTCTACACATTTGACTAACATTTTAGAAGTGAGCTAGAGCACTGTACGTACAGAGGAATGCTAATTTAGGAAAGCAAATCTCAGAAAATGTTTCAGAGTAGCAGCACAAGTGTCCCAGTTCTCAAAAATAGCATGAGCACTGTTTGACAGTTTTGCCTCCTATACAGCGAGTGAAGCTTTTGCTGCTGGTTGTCTCCATAAAAAACCCGTGTCAATTTTTACTCAGCTGTTTCCTGTTTTAGCTTAGGAGGAACGTGATCTGTTTTGTTCAGTAAGACATAACAGAAATCAGTTATTTTTGCCTCACAATGAGGTATACACACAGTCTGCTGTCTTTGCTGTAAGCTCCTACATCACACTGATGTCAAACATGACCTCGAGTACCAGTCATCAGCTGGGGTCTGGTGGGAACAAATGGGATCTGAATCCAGTTATCAGCCCATTCTTTTTCTGCAGCAGAACACCAGCCTGGAAACTTTACCTGATCAAAGACAGCCCTGCTCACTACCAGGCTGTTTCTCAATGCTTCCCATGCTCCTTCCAAGCCTGCACACCACCATCTCTGCTGTGAGCGGTCCCTGAAGCCAAAGATGTCCATAAACACTTGTTTATGCTCAAGAACTCAGCTCCTGCTCAGATCACGAGGAGCTCATGGTTCAGGTCACCAGGGAAGGCTGAAGCTGGGCTCAAATGCTGCAGGGTTTGTCTCAGCTGCCAAGGCAAATGACACTAATGAAGAGCATAGTATGGCCAAAGCAAAACACAAATCTACACATTTGAGTTCTAAAACACTACCAGTAACAGTATTTCATATACTACACATGAATTACAAGGTACTGCTGCAAGTGGTGAAGATTATTAAAATTGAAACCATATTCTATTTTTTATGAAGAACTAATCTCAGGTATGCAGGATATTTGATTTTTAAGTGAAAGGCAAGAATTGTATCGTGAGAACTGTTGAAGAATACCCCTTGGACACTGTGTTTGTGAAGGGGAAGGCAGACATCAAAGCTATATGAAATGTGAGAACTCTTCAGAAGGTTGCACTAAGCTGATGAATCCTTATTGCCTTCAGCAAGAAATCAACTAATAACATGAAGGAACTATTTACATAGACTGGGGATTTTTTTGGTGTTAACTGCAGTGATGTGTCCACAAGATAACACAGTATCTCATTCCCATCAGAAGCACTGCTCTACAAGGATATCAAGTCAAGAAGGACTTATTCCTGAGTATCATATTGTAAAGTAGAATCCACAACTGCATTTATAGTATTTAGGACATAGCTTATCTTCTCTTCTACTCTCTAGACCCCTGACACTGAAGTAGAAGGCAAACATAGCTCAATAAAGTCCCACTGCAGTAAAAGGATACCTGACCAAGTCACTCCATCTCACAGGATTCCCACAGGCCAGCCAGGCCACAATCACTGACTGTCCTTATGCTCTCAGGCCTGTGCAAAAACAAGGTCTAAAAGCCAAGTCCTGACAGATCTGTTTATACCCAGTAGCATAACCATGTATCCCAAAGGCACAGGGGGATCAGAACTGTAGTTACATTTTTATGAAAAGCCTCCCAGAATCATATTGGAAGTGATTTTTCTAAGAGATTCTGGTGTGCATAGTTCACACCATCAAAACAGAGAAACAAGATTGTCCTACCTGAACACTCAAGAGTGTTCACACAGCAATGAATGATGCACCTTGAATAAACCAGAACTACTCTCAAACTTATTTGGGCATTTAGGGCATTACAGTGCTAAAAAGCAACATGACACCAGTGCTAAGAAGACAGAGTTTCAAATGTCCAAACCAGTTCTCCTGTTTTAATACAGTTTTAATGAACATCAGTCCAAGAGATCACTTGATAGTATGAGGTACATTCCTTGACCACATATGGCTGTGCTTAAGGAAAAGGACAAACATATACTTAAATTAAATAGTGTAATTTAATTTAGTAGCATTTTAATTATCATCAAGTTAAAAAAAAAATTATAATTAACTATTAACGTTAATGACTCGAAACCTTTCAGAAAGCAAGAATCCAAAAGGAAATATCCACAGGTGGTCACAGACTTGTAGTTTTCCCACCAGCGCTGCCACCTGCACCAGTCTCTTAAAGGACTATTTGTTCAGTGAAGGAATTGGTCTTCAGTCTGTAACTGAAGTCTTGGCTCTGCTACTTTGCATGGTCTTCTAAGAGATACACGATTAACTCGTAGGTGGACAACACAATGGCTGTGTTTGGGATCTGCCGGATGAGCTGGGCAAAGAGTCCTCTGTAGAAGGCCAGGTAACCTTCCTCCCGTGCCACCAGCCGAGCTGTCTGGATGAAAGCCTTGTACTTGGTGCCTTCCTCCCGCAGCCGTGTCCGTATGACCTCTGCAGAGCAGGGGAACAGCGTTAACAGAGCAAACCTTCCACCCTCAGGGCTTTCAACAGCTTTTATAACTACAGAGATGGCTCTCTGCTAAGTGTTACTCCCACGTTCTCCTAGGAAAGCTGCACACAGCAGGACTATCGTGCTAAGAGTGCACACTTGGCTTTGCTACTTCACTAATACATACTCATAATAATTCTTTCAGCTCGAGTTCTATCCAGTCTGTCACAGTTCACACCTATGCTTTAAAAGACAAAAAGCACTGAAGAGACACTGCTTTGTGTTAAACCACTGATTCCATTTAAAGCCATCTTCAGCAGGCCAAGAGACACAGGTCTGCTGCATGAGGAATGATCCTTCTTTTTAAAAAACATGCCACTACCAGGAAAGGCCTTGTGTGCAAACCCCAGGGACAGGAAAACC